CATGAATACTGTACACCAGTAACATATACAGTACACAGATAATGAATACTGTACTCTAGTCATGTGTACAGTTCACATAAAAAATAAAATACACCAGTCACAAAGAGTAATAAGTATAATAATTCAGAAGAAACATCCCTTTTTGGCAAAACTTGTACAATGTAATCTTTTAATCCAGGCATGATTGTTCCAACCCTTTTATCCAAATAAAGAAACATATATCCAGATTAAATCTTTTTTTCAAACAATGTTACAAAAAAAAATGCTTTCATAAATTCTGGCAATAATACTGATATATTTCAATAAATAAAGTCTGGATTATAAAGGTTCCACATTACACGTGGTTTGGGATGTTTAAACTATCTTTCCCATGTAGATGTGGAAAGCATTTCAGCAAAAATATAGCTTGATAAGAAGATACTTATTTTATTTGGTCTTGTCATCCTTTATCACTTTGTATTTAATACTAGATTATTTCTTTTTTTCATAGGATGGCATTTGATGTTTTCAGTAGAAGTTTTATTGCTGAATTAGCATGAAAGTTTAGACTGGTTTCAAAGACTTTATAAAAATAATAATGTTCAGGCTCTGAAATATATCAATGAATCAGTTCATAATTCCATCATATCAGTACCAATATAGCATTAAAAATTTATCTGAAAAGTGGTGAATGCATTATGTTTTTTAATCAATAAAAAATCATAATTGTAGCAATAGAAAAAAATTAAATCATTTTGAAATATCTTATTGGTTTTGGTTGTTTCTTAGAATCAACTTTATTTGTAGCTGCTAGCTTGAAAAGCATTCATAAATTGTGCTGTAGTAATGAGAATCATCCTCTACCACACAAGCACTCAAGGACATATGCAAATGGATGTTCCCTTAAATTGCTTTTTATTCACATGTTTGATCCAGTTCTCTGACAAGGGAAATAACTCTTATGTACTGATAATTTTTACTTTTTTGAATAAAAGTACATTAGATTATCATTGCTTTCTAACAGGTTGAAGTAACACATGTATGTATTATGTTTCTTTTCTTTTTCATTTAGAGCTCTACTGGTCATTGGCAATGGTCAGTTGTCTGTTGTCCTTCATTGTTGTCCATCCATTATCTTTCTTCTGTCCATCTGTTAGCACAAGTTTGCTTCACTACTGCTCTAATGCTGCATTGAGGATTGCCATGAAACTTTACAAAAATTCATGCCAAGATCTGGTAGGTCCTGAATGAAAGTGGTGTTATTTGGATATCTAATATATCCGTAGGTCCCTGAATTTAACATACTTTATTTGGCAAGCTTGTTGCTAATGTGGCCAGTAAAAGACATCTTTTAGGTTTTGGCTGAGAATGTAAAAATCAGATAAAACAAAGTTGCACCTTTGTGTCCTGAATGTTTGTTTTTTTTTACCAGTGATCAAATTGTACTTCAGCAGTGCTTCATTGACATCCTTGAATGTACGCTTTTAGTGTTGCTGGCAGTGAAATTCTTCACTTGCCAAGTTGAGGCACTCTATTCTTTTGCAGTTGCACTGAACTTTGGTGGCCAAGAGTTTTCAGGAACCTTATCATGGTGCATGCTTTTTTCATCACTGTGAAGCATTGAAAATAGAGAACAAGAGTGCATTAACTGCAGACCATCACTGTGAAGCATTGAAAATAGAGAACAAGAGTGCATTAACTGCAGACCATCACTGTGAAGCATTGAAAATAGAGAACAAGAGTGCATTAACTGCAGACCATCACTGGGAAATGTTGAAAATAAATAGTTTTACCCTGAGAATGATAGAGCAGACCATCACTGCCATAGTTTCTGGTGTTATGCGAACTAGTGCTAGGAACAGGCTCTGCAACCCTTTTACTCAAATGTTATTTGCTGTGCAACATGAAAAGCAGGCAGATGTGACACATTGTATATGTGCAAGAGGAACACTTATTTTAGGTATGTCTGCTGGGATGAAGCCCTGTCCTTTGTAGCAATGACCACCAACATGTCGAAAATGGACATTCTCAGATAATAGGTTGAACTCAAATTTTGGGGTTGCCCACTTGAAGAGTATTTTGGCAAGACCAGCATTCACAGCAAACACGCCTGCCACTAGTAGTAGATACTGAGTGGGATTGGTTTATTAGCTATGACCAGTATAGACCATAAAAGATTATGGAATGGTCTGTTGTTCGTCATTTGTCATGTGGTGTCCATCCATCAGTCCATTTAAGGTGGTGCTCTACAGTTTCATATTTAGCATAGGGTTAAAATTTTAAAGAAATTTCCCCGGGTTTCCTCGCTGGTTACATTGGCTATTTAAAAAAAACCTTATTTATCTTAGGTATTGTTCAAAGAGACTTTAATTCACTTTTTTTTGGTGTATGATTGATGGGTATAATATGAGTTATAGAGTATACAGCTTGGCCTTACTCCGGATGTGCATCTTTCAAAAAGGGCTAGCTCCACTTGGTCATTTTCACTTTCTGAAATTAAGAGGTAAATTGTAAAAAATAAGAGCCGATAACTTTTTTTTACATTTTATATTATTGGTAATTCATTCATTACACTTTCAGAAGCTAGTATTGTCTAGTCTGGCAAAATTAATTTTCCCTATTTTAATAGCTGTCATTGATGGTTTATTTAGACAAATTCATGTTGATTTTTTTTTGGAGTACAAAGGAGCAGTCATTTTAGTTAGCAGTGTGCTAAGATCATTTACAATTTCCAAAAGTACAATATCCAAAGAAATGTCAGCCACACTACATGAAAGCAGCATAGAGGTATGCCAACATTCTCTCCTCTGTGCATGTTTTAGATGCAAAGAACTTCACCTTACATACATCACTCTCTCAAAAGTACATAATAATCGGTGAGCGCCTCCTCAGCCCAAATTTCTGATGACTTTAATCTTGAAGGCCAGACGAGCATACCCTGGGATGATGAAATGATTAGAGCTTAGATTGGGAAAGCGTACCAGACGCTGCTTTTTTGTACCAATCGCACTTGGACTAATGGTTATGATAATCGATTGGCGGATGCCTTTCGCATCCCAGGCTTACCTTAGGCAGCGGTTGGGATCAAGTTTTTGTTCTTATATTAAAATCATGTTTCCGTATGAATGGTCGGGGTATTCTCTAAAATATAGAAGACAGCATAATCGTAGTAGGAGGATTTGATCTCGGTAAGAAAAAAAAAGATCTCGTGGTGGAGGGCTACTTTAAACATATTGATAAAAAGGGTGATAAAGTAGCAGAAATGTATTTTAGTACGCAGCCTGTAAACGCAAAAATGGACTCCTAATTTTCCTTAGTAAGGTCCACATGATATGGAAGATAAACGGCAGAACAACACCCAGAACTCAAAAAGATAAGCTCGGGTCTGGTTATATAGCGATGGCTGATATGCCTGAACTTGTAGATTCTAATGTATTTGAAATTAAAGGAGACATTTTATACCTGGTAAAAGCCGATAGGGATGTGAAGTTAATTAATTAGCTTGTTCTTTGTTTCTCTGCCGATAAACGGTCAAAGGAAGGTACGGGCCTGATGGAATAAAATGGCTGGAACCAGACGATGCTTGAAATTGCCCCATATTACCAGAGCTCTTTTCCACAAAGCCAACAAGTAAATCTTACTCAGAGATACGAAAAGCAACTTAAAAACGTTCGAGTTTAAAGACCACCTTCAAATTGCCAATGGTGCAGAGATGTCCGCTAAAACCGGTATAGAGTCCATCATTGATGAACAACTCAAAGCTAGAGCGTTCCTATCTTAGAGAGTTCGTCAAAATAATCCGAGGCACTCTCATGTACGAAGTGGAAAAGCCTAGCAAGCTTAACAAGAGAATATTGCCAGTGTAAAATAATGTATATCAATGACACATTTTAGCGAAGATTATGCAGTTTAATTTGTTTTTAGAAAGATTAATAACAAAAGATGGTTGTGGTTGCAATAGTGTCTACGACAGTATTCTGTCTAAATCAAGCTCGAAGAAAAGCGCAAAAAAAAAACGACTTACAAAATCCCTTGATTTCTGAGACAACCCATCTTTTAGCAGAGAAATAAATTATACATAAGAATTATTCCTTTTTTTTAGAATTTTTCTAAACCAGGTACACGTAATATCGAAAGTAAAGTTAAGTAAACACCTATAAATTAACATTAATCAAGCGGTTTTCAATGTTAGCACGTCGTGGGCGTCAGTTTTAATTTATGCATATTACAACGAAATGGTGATCCGAGCACATGATCATGAATAAGTGTTGTGGATGGGTTTTCTCCTATTGTTCGGTTCAAACATAATTTCTAAGGAAAATGTTTTAAACTATTTGCCCACGGGTTGTTTAAAAGGCTTTTTTTTGAAGGTTTGCTTTGATCACTAATTTTTAAACTTTCGTCACCGAGACATTGTATTACTAATGAATACCAAGAAAAGGGTCAAATTCTTAAATGATTCTGAAAGTAGCAAATTTGTATTATTTTCATAGAATTTACATTAATATTCATGGAATTTCTTATCTTGATAAAGAGAGATTTATTAGAAATACAATACATAATTAAAGCATAAAATGATGTCATTAATTAAAACATAAAATGATGTAATTAAAATAAAAATAGTGTAACAAGAATTCCATTACAGAATGGCATGCGATAAACTGCATAATGAAATGAAAGATAAAGCAGTTACTGTAGAGAAATTTTTATTTCATCCATTTCTTTCAAATAGGTTGGAAACTATTATTATATATACGCGCGCCCGTGTGTGTGTGTGTGTGTGTGTGTGTGTGTGTGTGTGCTTTAGACTTTTAACGTAGCTTTAAAAAAATTCCGTCATATCGCTACGGCGTCTGCATTGTGGCAGTTTAAAGTGATGTCTAGTACTGGAACATCATGCCGCAGAGCATGATGCGACTTACCCCGTAAAATTATCCTGACACTAGACCCTCCAGTCCAAACACTAACTCCTTAATGCTGAGCGCCTAGCAAGGCAGCTATAAGTGCTTTTTTATAAGTCTTTGGTCTGATTCGGACTGTGTTCGAACCCACGACCTCCCGCATTCGAGGCGGACGTTCTAACCACTAGACCACGTAGTGGTAGACCAATTAACGTAATATTACTGGTTGTTAAACAATCAGTTAGATAACACCGTATCATCATTAACATTATGTGAGTACTGTAGAAAGTTGACTATATTTCTGTGAAGGTTTCCTTTTTAAAATATAATTGACTTGGATAATCACGGATGATATTTTTAAATCAATTACTTGCTGTTATTATTTTAGCTGGCGACAATTTCATTCAGAGTCGTTAATTATATGTTTACTACCTTTAATTATTTTCAAGGAACGCAATCTTAAATACTAGATTCAATGCCAGATTATTTAAAATTTAAATTAGATTGGGTTAAATTTTACATGATAAAATAATACCATTGGCTTGATATATTTTGAAATTAGAATCGAAAATCAATACAGTATTACATTATTTGACATGTACATGATACGACTAGCATCTAACGTATACACCCCATTGTACCGTTCTGTAAATGCTTTATTTCCAATTATATCAACCTGTCTGTTTAAGAACAAAAAATTCTTATATTGTAAGGAAGTAATCTATACAGTGTAGTTTTCTGCGTGCAGATATGATTTCTTTGTTTGGGGCAAGATACGTTTCTCACATGTGCATGTTTTTCTGGAACTTACAACCTATTAGAGAGCAAGATGGGGTGTATACAACCGTCATTGTTTAAATACGAAATTCAAGGGAACTTCCGAAAAGTATGCTTTCAAGATGTTTCTATTATTTTATGAGATTATCACAAATAGGATTTGATAATGAATATAACGCTGATTTTACTTCATTCGTTTATTTTTTTACAGAAGGAAGTTCAGTTGTAGAAAATCCTTGTAAAGGAAATGCTTTCAGGAAATGTCAAAGGCAACAAGGACAGGAAAAGTCAACAATTCAAATGATGATTTGATATAAATAATTTTATTATCCTATTTGTTTTGAGTATTTGTATCAAGGAAAAGTGATTGTTAGTGACATTATTTCAGACGTACGTACAGGCAGACAGGCACATTTGTTAGATAGTCACTAAATTGTATGAATTGAAAAATGCGATTGCATCTTAAAGTAACAGTCCGGTGTTGTTTTAACGAACTGAAAAATGTAGATTTGGAATTGTTTTAAATCTTGAGACATAGTAAAATTATTACATATTTTGTGTATTGCTCCGCGGGTATAACATTTTTTTTTAAAGTTTCGATCCGATACAGTCACTGCTATGAAATCTCTGAAGTCGGTCATTGGTGAATTCTTTCGGCGTTATCAGCACGCAAAAAGGACGACCGTCTAAAACATACTTGTATTTTTTATAACAATTTATAATGTTTCTTCAATCCTTTCAAAAACACATAGCTCGTTTCAGATTTATGTCAAAATTTACTATTCCTGCTGTTGATTCTAAAAACGTTACTTCTTGTATTTTTGTGTTATTCTCCACACACTCTATTTAATCTGTGTATGTTTTAAAACTGTATCATTGAAGACGGACCTTGTGAAGTCTATAAGATCATTAAATTAAAATGTGACTTTAGGGGAATACAAATTTGTGCTGCTTTTTTGCATGTTAAATGCACTCTCTATCTCTGCATCTTTCTCTAGAAAACAATGCAAGATATCTTTATGAAATTTGAAATAATCAGTGTTTTTCTTTGACAAGGCTAACTTCTAGAATACCTTTATCCCGTCCAAAGTTAGAAATAAATAAGTATTTGTTCATTATATTAATTCATTAATATTTTTTCATAGTCTTGCTGATTCAGCACTGTTTTTTTTAATTTGTGAAAGAATATTGTCAGCTGTGTGCCTTGTCTAGTAATTTTTAGATTTGAATTCTTTTTTATATCCTTATACACGTATGGCGATACACTTAAATTTAATCTGGTTTATCATATTCCTTACTAATTAAAACAGCGCAGAATGTCTTTACTGTAATAAATGTAGATTTTTTTTCTCGTCCTTTTTTTGTCACAACATCAAAGATATTCACATAAATAATCATGACAAATGATGTTTCCTGGCGTTTTATGACGTGACAAATGAATTTATATTGCCTTCATTCGGATGTCCTTTAATATCTTGTCTTTACAGCTGTGAATTTGTATAATGTCTAGATCTTAGTCAAAAGTTGCAATGAAACTGTGTTATTTTAAAGAGCCATCAGAATTTATTTTGGTATCTGCTGAGTCAGCATAGTCCGATTTTAATCCATCTATCCTACAATATATTTCTTTTTCAATCTGTTGATTCTCTCTTTTCCCCACCACTCAAAAACACGTTTTGATTCTCTCTTTGCCCCACCCTTCAAAAGCACATATTGATTCTCTCTTTGCCCCACCCCTCAAAAGCACATATTGATTCTCTCTTTGCCCCACCCCTCAAAAGCACATGTTGATTCTCTCTTTGCCCCACCCCTCAAAAGCACATATTGATTCTCTCTTTGCCCCACCCCTCAAAAGCACATATTGATTCTCTCTTTGCCCCACCCCTCAAAAGCACATATGTTCGTCACTTTATCACACTTCTTAAAACTTTTGTCTTAATATGAATGTTTGAATGGTTCCCGACACTGGTAAGCTAACTAAATGCTTAGGTTTCTGCCCTTGATTAAGTGGTACTCACTTAACTTTAAAATACTTTGTAAGATCTTAGACCTAAAATAATATTACTCAATAGGCATTTAGTTGTATTTAAAGGATAGAGAATGCATTGCTTAACCCAAGGAGTGAAATAAATTATTTAAATAAAAATGATGGACTAAAAGATAAAAATATACTCCACTGTAACACACGTTTCTCACTTTAAGAGGAGAGGCATTAACTTTTATACCGTTTATAAGCAAATATATAATTTAAAACTGTATAGCACGATTTACATCACTTCCTTGCTTGTTTGTTTTCTTGTTTACATTCTCCACTTCTTTCCTTAAAAGCACAAAAAAACTTGTCCTGATAAAACCGTAAAGATATTTGGAAGATTAAAAAGTTAACATTTATGCTGTCTAAGGCAGGGAATTATCTTGGCGATTGTTTACTTCAAGCAAAAAAAAAAAGAAAGAAATAAATTGTATGTCGTCGTTTATTACGCAAAACAAAAAAAAAAAAAAACGTTATAATAATGTGCCTCTGCTTGGTCTGGCATCCCTCGATAGACAAGTCATTTATTTAATTATTTATCCGAATCATTCTTAACTTTTAAAAATAATGTAATATAGATTAGCCAAGAAACATCATTTATTTCAAAGTCATTTCGACATGTCCTCTTTCATGACATGACAGGAAAGAATAATTGGAGACCGGAACCGTCAACATAAATAGCCGCAGGTGAGATGGAAAACAAACGATAAGTCGTCATAAGCTTTTCATAGAAATGTCTTTAACAAACGAATGGGTGAAAACCCATGAAGGAAAGTAGGTCAATACCTTAGGACAGCGATATTCGCGTCCCTGACTGATGCAGAGGAGGGAGGGACGGGTGAAGATTTCCAATTGGGGTTGTTATAAAACATTTGTTCATGTGTTTCTGGTATCCCATCATAAAAGCTTGAAGACAAGGAAGTGTCGTCTGCAAATTGTAACACTAATTCCGTCAAGAGTCCATTAGATAGGTAAAGGTTACTGACTGATAAGGCATTGTTGAAAAAAAAGGTCAAGCAACGAAACATTACACATTTTGCAAATGAACCTGAGAATGGCAATAAATCTTGAAAATGTTTTATTACACCTAAAGAAAGACAATTGGGCATGATATATTCATTAAGGTTGCCTAAGCTTTACTGACCACATTATACAGAGGCGAAAATCTGTGCTAAAGTCCACGTCCTTCATGGAACTACATCTTAAGAGATCATGAAATTTTTATAATATTTTTTATACTTTCGAATCTAAAACAATACTTTGAACCACCACATGACTTCAGAAATAACTTTGTGGGATGAGTGGGGTCCCGTGTGTATTCTCTAAGGACAGGTTACACCGTTCTTTCAAAAATTTGTACGTACATAGGACTTCTTTCATTTTTATGGAAAAGAAACGATTATAATCTGTTGTTTTACACTTGAACAATCCCATAAAATAAAAACAATTTAATGGTACAAAACACTTTGTCCTTACTAAAACGTCTCTTGCATGAAAAAGATTAATATGTGTATAAAAAAAAACCGGGACGGCACTTCCAGTAACTAGCTTAGTCAGACGGAGATAATGTGTGATAAAGAACACCAAAGAGTCTGTAAAATTAATGAAATTAGTCATTATGAATGAAATTCATTAAAGCTAATTTCATAACGTTTATAGCAAATAAAGTCAAATGTATTCATAATGTATTGATTACCAAATGAAGTTGTAAACCTTGCATTATGTCGGTAGCCCATCAGTTTCGTTGAAAACCCTTGAAAATAAATTTTGAATAATTGATTTCGTAGTTGATGTCTCTGTCCAATATTACAATAAAATGTTATAGAAATTACATATTGAATTAAACTTATCACATTTATTCAGATTATATGCGGAGGTTCTTATTATGCCCTCAGGAGGAAAGAGTTCTCAAAACATTTATATGCAAAACTTTACGATAGATATGCAAAAATGTAAATGTATGTCTATTCTCTTGCAATCATAGTACTGTCTGTTCAATTAAAGCAAAATTAGAAGAAAATTACAAACAAGTAATTATTCCACGGTATGCAATTTCCACCTGCTCTTCCATGACATAATCCAGAAACCAGAAAGTAAAGTAGGTCACAACAACTTAAAATAAATATCCCTAACCTTAAAACATGATCAAATTTCAAGACTGTACACACAGCTTTGTCCCAGAAACAGAGCTAAATACCAAATTACCCTATTCGCTGAAACATGAAAGGTAGATCGCTGTAGAAAATTGTATCCTTGGTGAAACCCTGCAAAATGATATATGCATGAAGGATAGGTAACTGTGACCTACCTTTGCCAGTGGCAAGCAGCAGCTTCCAAAATCAATGCATCAAGTTTCATAAATGTACATGTAATGGTTTCCAACAGAGGCAAACGCCGA